TAGATCTTTTTTATTTGTATTTTTTTTTTATATATGATATGTCAAAATATTTATATTTTAACGATCTTTGATTTGACATTCATATTGCATATATAAAATAAAAAATAATTTCATCCATCTTTATAAATAAAACTAACTTTATTATCAAATTTTAAAAAATATAAAACAGCAATATAAATTATAGTAAAAAATAATATAAATCTAATTCATTAATACATCATAAAATAAGTATTTAATGTGTTTTTTCATAAATTTTATAAAAAAATATGGAAATTAAGTATTACATAAAATAAATTATAAGAAATATTATAAAATACTATTTATGAGTTTATATATAAGGATTAATGTTATTATGTTGTTTAGAATAATAAATATAAAATAATATGATAGTTAAATATAATAAAGTGATTTACGTTTCATAAATTTAGAAAATAATATATTTCTCTGTAAGTTTATATTCTAAATTATTAAACTTTATAAATTTGATGTACTTGAAAATTAATGAAAATGAGAGTTGGTTAAACTATATAAATTTGAAGTACTTGAAAATTAATGAAAATGAGAGACACCAACTCTGTAAATATCATTGTTCTAAAAATCGGCCTAGGCGCTAGGCGATGTCTGGCCGCTTCCGATTTGCACAAATAGACAGAAAAAATCGGTTAGGCGGCCCAAGACGCTTTTAGGCGGACTTGGCGGGATCGGTGGGCATAGGCGGACCTAGGCGCTCCTAGGTGGGCTCGGCGGTAATTTGTTAGTTTTTTTAAATACTAATTACATTATATTAATATTATTATTTGGATTTAGGTGTGTGAATTTATTATAAGTTGAGATAGGTTTATTTTGTAAGTAGTTAAAATAAATAAAAAATAAGTATTTAATATTGATTTTTAGACCCCAACTAGGCGCCGCTAGGCCCAGCTTAGGCGTTCTAGGAGCTGGTCAAGCGTCTAAGACTTTTAGAACACTAATAAATATAAATATAATCACAAGACGATAAAACTTGTGTTGTTTTTTAAAAAATAAAACTCGTATCAAATATATGGAGTTGTAAATAATGTCTATTTTAGATATATATAATTTTAAATATATAACTAAAAATATCATTTTTTGACCAATTTAGAGTAAAACTATGGGCACCATTTTCAATTAATTATCAATTTATTAGTTATTTGTTATTTTTTATATTCATATAACTAATATCACAATAGAAATATAAATTATTTTAATTTTTTATTGTACAATATTAATATATTTAAGTACTCATGTACTGCACGATATATTCTAAATAAAAAATCATACTTATGATATATAATGTCATATTTTTATTTATTTTTTAAATATAAAATTTGTATATGGAAACTACAAAAATATGTTGAAAATGCGTAATGTTGTTAAAAAATAATATGAAATTAGATAGAAGATCTAACGGAAAGAATTGCTGAAAATAATTATATGTTTCGAACCAGAAATTATTTTAATTATATTCATAAACTTATGTCATTTATGATATTGGTATAAAGTGTATTTGGTAAATATTATGAGTTAACCTATTTCATTAATTTATAAGTGGCTTTTCCTTTTATTTTTTTTATTTTTTATTTATTTATTTTTTTTTTTTTTTTTTT